TTAGCGCCAGTACAGAACATTCTCAAAGAGTTTCATATGGAAAACGCTGAACAGATAAAATTGAACAACTGCAAAAGAATGTACTAATTCTCTGAAAATATGACAAAAACACCAGAGCCCTTCATTTTGACTTTGAAGTTCGTTCTTTTTTCTTGTATAACCAGATTGAAACGACAATATAATTTGTTCAACGTTTCCAATAGCATTTTTTTTCCTTTCCAGAATTTTATTCCATGGAAAAGTACATTCTGACTCACAGTGAAAAGACATTTTTGAATATCAAATTTTCCCAAGAAATGTAAACTGCATTTTAATCAATAGCACTGGTAAAGAAATAGAAAAGGTTTTCACACTGGATAGCTTAAATGGATGTCAGATACTGTCAACACAAGCAAAAGCACTTAACAGTCGAGTTTTAGAAAAGTATCTTTTTTTCAAATAAAAGAAATCTTGCAGAATAAGACAATCTGGGTTGCAGTCTTTTCTTTAAATGCAAAAACAATCCACTCTCTAGATCCGTGCTAATAACAACACTTAACTGTGAATCACGTGCAACGTGTTTCAAGACAGAGTTTCACTGAGCTCCCGTGATTTATTTCTGCAGTTGCCACAGGGATCTAAGCTCAAGACCCAGAAGCAGCAAAATGCAATAGATCAGAGCATGTCATAACCTCACCAAATAACATATTAATCCAAAATAGGGCGGGGTGATAAAAGATTCCTGTCCAGCCAGAATCTGGGAACAGATAGTTCAGAAGCTGCAAATGTCCACAGCTTCTCCTGCACCTTATGACACCAACAGAACGATGACAAAAGCTTTGCTTGACGAGGGGAACAGAAGTGCAGCGATGAGGAATATCATTTGCAGCAACTAAACAGTTCTGACTCTGCCCTTTAGCATATCCATGTCCAAGATGAAAGAACCGACATCCACCAGCTCTGACTGGATTATCGTCTTCTCCCTTCTTGGCGATGAGCACCTAGTGCCTGAGAAAAACGTGGGGGTGCAAGGGACACTGGGAACAGCAGGCAATAGCAAGAGGAACCGGCAAGGCGACTCCTGCAAGGACTGATGCTTGTCTACACCACAGCACCAGATGGGCTGTTACACCGCTGCGCTGCACACTATCGAAACGGGAGATAACCCACACATCAGATACCACTTACTTACAGTATTAACTGACAATTGCAAAGAGAAAGAAAAGGAAATCAGCGTTCCCCCAAAAAAGCTCAATACATCCACCAGAATCCAGTACATTAGAGACAAACAGAGAAACACCTCAAGGAACAAGCTGCAATTAACCTTCTGGAGAGCGAGAGTACAATTTACTTTCAGTTTAGCACTTCTAAAGCGAATGGATGGTCTGCAGGGCTCTCCACAGGATATAAAGACTTCCCTTCACATGGCACTTGCTCTCAGTGACAACTCAGTGCGAGCTATTACCATCCAGTCACACTTTGGTCAGCCACACGCAAGTGAAAACGCATTTGTTTTCACACACACAGAAAAAGCCAGCAGCACTTTTGAAGGCAAGACCTCCTTAGTCTCAGCTGCAGACAGGCTAGGAATTAATGGCAACTGTGAGACCCCTCTTTTATACCCCCAAAAGCAGTCTGCCCTTAAGGATCAGCACACGCACAGGGGCAACAACAGTGCCATCTGCTAGAAAAGTCCTTACCCAAGCAGGAAACATAAAACCCTTGGGAGTGCAGCGTGGTTTAAAGAAACCAGGTTTGGGAAGTACTTTAAGAGCCACTACTAGAACATGCTTGAAGCATCAAGTGCAAAAGTACATTAACATCGATACTACTACAGTTCAAAAGGCTCCTGTCATTGCTGAAACATTTACCGCAACTCTTAATCGCAAATTCCCCCGACTCATTATGTTTCTCCCATTCCTGAGTTTCTAAAGCTCAGAAATTAATGCAAGCAATTTGAATGCAGACAACACAGGAAAGCGCTGTGGGCTTTTTACAGTTGTTGACTCACACTTCTGCCTGTGCTCCCTGCCCAAGTAACAATTTAAGCAAAGAATTCACTGTTTTAAAATGGGTCAGCAATATAAAGGTTTTTTCTTACCTCTCCATCTAAAAAGAAGTTTATCTAGTCACCAGTGGGAATCAAGACTTACCTCACAGATCATTTCCTGAATGAAGATAAGAAGAAATAAAATGCTTTTTAATCCAAAATTCTACATTTTTCAGCAGACATCAATATCCAGCCCTCACAAGTTCTGCCACTGACAATAAAATCCAAGAACAACTTTTATACTTGATCCCCTTTCCTTTGTTTCCTACGAACTGCAGCATGTTAGCGCCCTCTGAAAAATCAAAGAATTGCTTTCCCAGGTGATATGAAAGGCTCTTAACCATTTCCTGCCTGTGCCAGCAAGACTCCTCCCAACTTCTCTCCACTGTAATTCAAGCAATAGGGCACTAAAAGAAGAGAAGCCTACGAATCTTGACTTGGATATCTGCAAGAACTGGTAACGAACTTCCAAGTAACTCCTTTGATAGTATTCGATCAAACTCTTTCAACAGTGTCTCCAGCCATACAAAGAATAGCCTGTTCTCACCACACCTGGCCACCTTAAAAAGGGAAGCTGCACAAGTGCTGTCCTATTACGCAAATACAATTCCCCACCTGCCTTCTTCCTGTGGTGAGAGATGATGGGACAATAATGCCTAAAGAGAACAAGCCTCAAAAGCGAGCAGCAGCCAAACTACTTGCCAGTAGAAAAAGATAAATTAACACATTTAAATAATAAAAAAAAGGATAGCCTCAGCCTGAAGTCACAGGAAAAGAGACCACAAGCTCCATGAGCTGCCAGGAGCACATTACCCCAAAGGCAACAGCAATATCAAGACTTTTTTTGCCATTACTCAATCTGTAAGCTGTTTTGTTTGGGGTTTTTTAACCCTCCATTTTCAATACACATTTACAGAAACTTAATTTCTACCAGGATAAGCAAGGACAACGGGCCAGCTCTCACTTCATACACATTGCAATTATTCCAGATTTACATGGAAAAACTTCAAGATTTGGCTCATTTACATAACAGCAGGTGGAAGAGCACAGAATTACTTTTTTGGGCAAACAGACCCCTGTGCCACCCCAAAAAGAGGCTGCACTGATGCTCCATCCCCTGGAATTCAGAGTCAAATGGCCCCTGGGCTCTCGCACCTCTGCCTCCTCACCTCCTCCCAGCACCTCCCGACCAAGGGATCGCATCCAGCCCCGCAGCACAACCCGCTGCTGCTGAACATGACACCCAAACCAGTTATTTATACCACAAATCAGACTGGATTTAGCTAAGTGAGCCCAGAGGGACCAGCGGTGGGGCAGGTCTCCCCATGGGAAGCAGGCCCACACCCAGCACCCCCTCCCCAATCTCCCCCGGCTGCAGGCCCAGGCAGGGCACCTTTGCCCACCTCAGCCCAGGAAAAGGAAGAAAACTTCACTCCCATGGGATTTAGCCTGTTACTACACACTGGGGCAGCAGAGATACCCCCCATCATCCCTCACCCGCTTCTAGAGGGGCCGGGGGTGGCTGCCTGCGCCTTTAAATCC